TTGAGCCAAATCCATTAATTTAATAATCCATTCCTCCACTGTATGTATTTGTGGATCTTTCCATCTTTGAGTGGTCTTTGGTAAAATTAAAATACAGTTAAACCTCAATTTAAGATCCTGAGAAAATAAAAAGACTGTTATCTGGTGCCAAAATGATACTAATGGGGGAGCCAGTTGAGCCTCTCTAGGGAGGGAGTTCTATAAATGTGGTGCCACTACAGAAAAAGCTCTCTCCCTTGTAGAGGCCCACCTTATCTCCTTTAGTGATGGAACCTGAAGGGGATCCTCATTAGACGATCTTAAGGTCCATGTAGGTACATATGGAAGAAGGTAACCTAGTCCTAAGCCATTTAGGACTTTAAAGGTCAAAACCAGCACTGAAATGGGTCCAGAAATAGACCAGCACCCAGTATTGTTGGCAAAAAATTAGCATAATGTGGTTGTGTCGATCAGCCCCAGTGAGCTCTGTTTTGAACTAACTGAAGTTTCTGGACCGTTTTTAAAGGCAGCCCCATGTATAACACATTGCAACAATCCAAGGGAGGTTATCAGAGCATGAATAACTCTTGTGGTTGCAGCTGATAAATCAGCCAAAGATGTTAAAAAGCACTCTGGGTCACCAAAGCCACCTGGGCCTGTGGTGATGGATCTAAATACATCCCGAAACTGTGGACCTACTCCTTTAGGGTGAATGCAGAACCCTCCAGACAGGCAGAACATCAATCTGCTGGACAGATGTGCCATCCACAGAAAGTATCTCCATCTTGTCTGGATTAAGCCTCTGTTATTGGCCCTCATCCAGTCCATTACCCTGCCTAAGCACTGGTTCAGAACACCAACCATCTCACCTGTCTTAGATGAAAAGGAGAGGTAGAGATGGGTGTCATCTTCATATTGATGGCATTTCAACCCACATCCTTGGATGACTTCTCCCAGTGGTTTCATATAGATATTAAAGAGCATAAGAGATAAAATGGAGCCCTGAAGGACTCCAATAACCCAATTCCCATGAGGCAGAAGAGTAATCCCCCACCACCTTCTGGAAATCCCCATCCAAGTTGGAATGGAACCATCATAGTTCAGTACCCTCTTATCCCATCTCTGATAGCTTATCCAAAATGATACCATGGCCAATGGTATTGAAAGCTGCTAAGAGGCCCAGGAAGCCCAATAGGGTCACACTCCCTCTTCTCTTTCTCAGTACAGGCCATTCCATAGGGTGACCAAGGCAGTTTTTGTTCATAGTGAGGCCTGTAATTGGTTTGAAAAGGATCTAGAACAGTGTTTCTCAACCTTGACAACTTTAAGATGTGTGGACTTCAACTCCCAGAATTCTCCCGGCCAGATTCTGGCTCGGGGAGTTTTGGAGGTGGAGGCCCCACCATTTTAAAGTTGCCA